TCTCTCTCTCTCTCTCTCTCTCTCTCTCTCTGAATCATCTCTGAGGGAATGAAGAAGTTCATAATTCCGTTCTTCATACTTTTTGTGTGACTGATGTGCATGGTATTCGCAAGTTGTAGCATGACCGGGTTTTTCGGCTCGAAACTTTTGATAGGACGAGTATTGCGGATATCGGACCCACGATGAATGATTGAGGCCCATCTTTGTGTCTGATTTGAACTGCCATGTGGACTGACGGCCTCAACCCGACTGGGCGCTGGCTGCCCGTATCCCCACCGCGCCCCTTCCCGTACAACGAGAAGAGGGCACGTGTATGCGAGTGGGACGTACGCGAAGCCGTCGCCAAGATCGGCGGGCAATACTACTTCCCTCCCGAAAATCGATGCTCTAGTTCTGTGGGTGTTGGGTTTGTTGATACACATTTTTCGCCTTATTCGCTGTTGTTGCTATTCAACGAATTGATCGTCATTCCATGGTCGGCAGTAGCGCCCCATTGGCCTAACACTCTGTGCAGCGATTGTCGCCACTTCGAGCGTTACCAATCAAAGGGCTTTCACTACCGAGTACGGGGTGAGGAAGAGCATAAGGAACGGGCCACGCGGCTGAGACCGTCCACGTCGGATTCTGAGTTGTGCAATGAGCGACGTCGGGACGTGATCCGAAAACGAGATACTAAATGTGTTCCCGCCCCCTTTCACGTGAAACGCAGAGCAACGCCCCTGTGGGAAGTTAAACGATACTTTTTGGATTGAATTTCCCCTCGCCATAAGTCCCGCGCACGCCTTCTTCTCCCTCAAAACCCGCATGGAGATGGACCTCCCATCTTACTTCGTCGGACCAACACGGGGGTGTCCCCACACTCAATTTCCCAAAAATCCTTGGCACACCCATCTTGCTATTCTTTCAGGGCCCCTTCCCGCACTGTGAACACTCCGAACGAAAGACAGCGCAGGGCTTGAGGTTGTGCGTCACATACCTGCCTTGAAGGGCTTGCATACACTGGTTGCAGAGCTGGTTTAGTACATTGTGTTGGTTTTAAACTGCCAGTGCCTTTCCCAGCTATGGGCCACGCCGCCACGGCCCCTGCGCACCAGGTTTTGGCAACGCGCCTGGCCTCCGCCGGAGGTCGAGAGGCCAAGTGCGGCCTCCGTGTTAACCTCCGTGTTAACCGGCGCGAAACAGCAACACGGCTGGGAAAGGCACTGGTGGGGTCGATTTGCTGAATTAAGAGTCAGTAGGTTAGCTTGTATGCAAGAATAAAGCATGATCTTGGTTGTTTCTTTTTTTTTTTTTTTTTTTTTCAAATCTTGGGTTTTGAAGTGGGCTTCAAGTTGATTTCTTGGAGGATTTTTTAAGTTGACGGAAGAGAAGCTCGAAGCCTAATCTGGGTAATGGCCGCAGTATCCTTTGGGGAGCGAGATCCCACTACCAATAGATGTGGAGTAGTGTTTAAGGTGTGTGACTGTCAGGCATCATGGATTTGGCAGGAAATCAGCGGTAGCCTGTTGTTGTGAATTAAGCCCGGGAAAAGGATGTTTTCTTTCGCTCGCCCATTTGTAGGTTTTTCTTTTGTTTTTTTTGTTGGGGTCCTGTGGTTGTCCCAAACGTGCGTGAAATCACAACCAAGTTATTTGGTTCTTGAAATCGCACACGTTTCACTCACGGCGAAGGCAAAGACGAATGGCTTCATCGCTGGAAATTGATTGTGGTTTGGGAGGTGTTTGGGAGGGTTGGATCCCCTCACCTACAGCAAATGGTGTATGAAGTTACTCTGGCCCTGCTTTGCCAAAGAGAATTTTTGTCAGAACAACCGAACAGAGTGCACTGCGGCCTATTTCAAGGAAGCCTCAGGAAGGTAACCCACTGCCAAAAACGATTGGAATAAGGGTGTCGTTAGACACTCCTAAAGGAATCCTAAATTTTTTAGGACGAGTCCGAAAGGTTTTTTAGGATTTCCTGCGGCGTCGTTACACGCAGTCCTAAAAATCATCTTTTAGGACTCGTCCTAAAAGGTTTCCTGTGACCCGTTTTCATACGCGTATACGCAGCCGCGTCACTGATGCCTGTCCATTCTTGGCCGGTGTCTGTGGTACAGACTGCGGTGGCCCTTAGGCGGGCGTCGACGGGTCGATGAAAAGCGCGGTTCCCCAGGACTTCAAAATTTCGAATTCAAATTCTCGCGGACGTAGGGTGGCTGGGCGGCGGGCAGCCAGGCGACGCGTGTGACGTGAAAAAGACGGTGCCTCCCTACCGTTCGGCGCGCAGAATCCATTTCCCAAGTATACGCAACTTGTGAGCAGCGGGCGCATCATCGTGCGAGGCGCACGTTCACCTCCGGCGTGCGTACCATCCTTTAGAAGCGTGGAGCAGCGGGCGCGTCTTCGTCTCCTGTGCCATCGTACAGCAGCGTTCGCATCTTCGGCTCCGGGTTGTTTTGTCTACGGCGGCAGGTTTCCGCAGTGGGCGTGTCTGAGGCGGCTGTCGCACACGTGACACGGCAAACCGTGCGAAGATTGCCAGAGATGGATAGTCACGGCTGCCCAAACGGTCATCGCGAAGAAGAGATTGACGCCGTGGCGATGGCGGTGACTGCCGTCGTCGTGAACACGATGGGCAACATGGAGTCCTCCTCACGCGACATGCTGATGCGGCTCCGCCAACGAAGAGCGCTATTGCAGAGTGTTGCCGAGGCGCCGGATTGCATGGCGACGTGTGAGGCAGTCGTCCAGTTGTGTGTCGTGCTGTCGTCTGGCGTTTTCCCGCGGCAGACTCCGCGGTGGTGGATTAGACGACGGACTGGCAGAACATGGGAGGACCTCCAGCTTCGTGACGACACGACGGACGAGTACTACCGGCAGAAGCTGCGCATGTCGACGACCATGTTCACACAGATCGTAGTCGCGTGCGCCTCGTACATGGAGAAGAAGGTGACGCACTATCGAATGTCATTGCCAGTGGAGCAGGTGATTGCTTTCGCGTTATACAGGTGGGCATCCGGAGAGACGTACGAGAGTGGCACGTCAGCCTTCGGCATCGGCAAGGCAACTGGACTGCAGGCCGTCCGCGACGTTACTTCGGCGCTGCTGCAGGCGTACCCCGACGCGATAAAGTGGCCAGTGGGCAAGAGACGTGCGCAGATTCTGCGCGCTTTCTGTGACAAGGGTTTCCCAAACTGCTTTGACGCTATCGACTGTACACACATCTACATTGACAAGCCCGCCGGCGCACCTCCTGGCAACTATTACGACCGCAAATAGAAGGTCTCCGTGCAGGCGCAGGTGGTTGTGGATTTGGATCTGCGGATCCTCAACGTCCACGTAGGATACCTGGGAAGTGTGCACGACGTCCGTCTCCTGCACAATTCCCAGTTGTGGAGGCGTGCAGAAAGTGGCGAGCTGTTCGACGCAACTCCGGAGAATCTGTCACACTGTATCGTCATGCGAGGCTACCTGCTAGGCGACAACTGATATCCAGTTGCCTGTCCGTGGATCGTGCAGCCGTACGGAGGAATCAACCAAGGTGCTGACGAGGAGCACTTCGACACAAGGCAAAAGGTGGCGCGGGGGTGTGTGGAGAGGGCATTCGGCCGACTCAAGTGCATGTGGCGTCTGTTCTTGCGCACCCACAAGACGAACCTGGAGACCTTGCCACAACAATTCGTGGTTGTTTGCACTCTCCACAATATCCTCCTGGACGCGGGGATCGACTTCGACGAGAACCTTCTGTGGGAGGTGGATGCGAACGGCGTTCGGCGTAGAGTGGACTTGGGCATTGTGGGGAACGGCGCACGCGGGCGGGGACGGTGCACAAACGTGGAAGGGGAATTGTTGAGGGATGCACTGCGAGACCGTCTGGTTTTGATGTACGAACGTGCGGTTGGGGGGGGGGGGGGGGG